ACCCTGAAACCTAAACCCCAAACTCCTTGATCCCCACTCATGGCTCCCTCACCTCGCACCAGGCCATCCAGAGCAGGATCTGAGTCCAGCCACCTAGCGCTCAGCTGCTCTGCTTAGGGTTCGACCGGTGGTAGGGGCCCCTTATAATTAGAATAAGGTTCTTGGGGGTATATGCTACTATAACTATACTAGAATTATACTAAGAAGCCCCAAAAAATATTAAGGCCCCTATATTAGGGGTTTAGGGGCTTCGGGGTTGACGGGGGTCTGGCATGTGGGGTAGGCTCAGAGGTCAGGTGCTTCGGTAGCGGGCCACCAGAGTATCTTCTCGCGAGGAATTTGGGCAAGAAAGACGAGCGTAATGCGAGGAGGATCAGCTTTGGAGCTGGGTGATTAGAAAACCCTAAACCCTAAACCCTAAACCCTAAACCCTAAACTTTAAACCCTAAACCCTAACCCCGAATCAAGGGGGTCTCAGGCCTTTGGACTGAGGGGTTCAGGCTTGAGACGCCTAGCTTTTGCAACGACTACATCTCAGATGTCTATATACTCCCGGCTGAACACAGTAGTTGTTTTCTCAAGCAACAGCAGGAACCGTGATAATGCAGATCAGACACGGAAAGAACAATACGAAGCAATGTACTGTGACAAGCACAGCAGCAACAGAATCGGCAACGGGCATAGCAGCCATGATCGTTGCGGCACCACAAAAACGCCACCCAACACAACTAAACCACTGTCAAGATCCCTCATAGAGAAACCCTCCTTCAACCCTTGAGGATCCCTTGCACCCTAAACCCTAAACCCCCCCCTTAGGGATCCCTTACGCCCTAAACCCCCCTTAAGGACCCCTTATCAAAACCGAGCCCCCCAAAGTGGGCCTGCGGGAACCTTGGAGATGGCTGCCAAGCCATTGGGGANNGGCCGCTAGAGGGATCCAGGTAGCCTTTCTCTGAGGAGCGGAGAGGCTTCTTGTGGAGATGTGTCGGGCCTTGGGGGGGGGATCCAGGTAGCCTCTGAAAATGTCGAGTTGTAAAGTTGTTGTGGTAGGTTGCTTTTTGCAGGGTTTTTAAGGATGTTAGGGTTCAGGGCTTGAGTGAGCCACAGAAATCTGGAACATGGTCTAATAAGGATGTTGAGTGCTAGGACTCCCTGTGCTTTACCCCAAAGGGGCATAAAGAAGTCCATGTTCTTCAACTTTCCGGCCTCTACTATACTAGGTGGGCAAGACGATCAAAGAGTACTTTGCGGTGGTCTGTAAAGGGTGTTAACGAAGGGTTCTATGAAGGGCTTTGCAATGCTTTGTACGGATGAGCTAGGACCTCAAATCTCATGGTGTACACACATAGGTAGAAAGAGAGGTGCATACATACATACATACATAC